TCCAAATTACATTTCTTAAAACAAAACAATAAATAAACGTATAATTATTCATTTTGATTAAAAGTACTTAATATCTCATAAAAAATTTAAGGAATTTCATGGTCTCCACGGCAGAAATTACGAATACGACTTTTTTATTACATATTTTCTTTAACCATATATCTTTAATTTATCCTTTAAATGTTAAAGACTTACTACGTTATATAAATTCCTCAATGAAATGATATTTAAAAAATTATTGATAAAATTCCTTATATCGATAAACGACAACAATTATAACTAGAATCGAAATTTTGTCACCTTCCACAGACATCGTGTAGCCTATTGGTCCAAGAGTCATGGTAAGTGAACAATTATGGTGGTCCTAAGTTCAAACCTTATTGAGTGGTACATCTTTTTCCAATTTAAATTTTTTTATCAATTAATTATTCTGTTTTTATTTCATAAAACGTGGAAAATAAACAAATTAATGAAAAATTTATAAAATAATGATTTTTCGTCTTCATAAAAGATTAATTTTCGTTAATTATAAGTTTAAATTAAATACTTTAATAAAAGAAATTAAAAACAATTTACAATATAAGACTTGAAATAATGAAAAGTTGGTTTATTATCTGATAGATTGTTGTCCAACTGTTGCGTTCTACGTTCAACAAATACAAAAATACTTCATCGCAATTTTTTATAAATATAAAAACTCAACAAAAATTAAATGGTAAATAAAAAAATATTTACAAAAAAGAAAATCATCAAAAAAGATAACAAAGAAATGTAGGGATTTAAACCCAATCCCTATACACTGTATGTATAGGACTGAGAAACCTATCAATCACAATATAAGATATAGAAATTACGTTTTAGTTACATACATACATATAAATAATTAAAAATACGAAATATGTGTATATATACTATTTTAATTTGGTGTTTTCGAAAGATCTAATAAAATTCTAACTCTGAATAATAAATAAATACAGAACATATTTCGTAATGGTGAGCGGGAGACGAGCGGCATAGATCCATCTAGCATCGCGCCTCAGCGCTCTCTGTTCAACGTATGGCAATGGAAGAGAACTGAAACAACGCCGCGTTGGCGATGTGTTTTGGTCGTCGCGTTCGAATTATTTTTAATGAATTAAATCTAATATTTAAAATTCTCGTGTCACGGGGTTCGAACTTGAACTCCTCCGAAACGGCTCGACCGATTTTTACCAAATTTTAAATGCGTATTCAGTAGGTCTGAGAATCGGCTACTATCTATTTTTCGTCCCCCTAAATGTTAAGGGGGTAGTCCACCCCTAATTTTTTTTATTTTTTATATAAAACTTTTTGTTTCTATTTTTTTATGACACAGCATACAAAAATACATACAACCCTAAATTTTCACCCCTCTACGCAGACGTAGTCGCGGGCAGCAGCTAGTTAATATTTATAAATATCTTACTTCAATCAACAAATTAAGACAACAATCCTTGTTATTAAATTATTCTACACCAACGATATTTCATTAAGATTCATATTACGTTCACTTTTGGATTTGAATTTCTTTTTTAGAGGTAGTTTCATGATTTTTTTATCGAGAAAACATATCGAGAATATGTTTTGAAAACAATGTTCCATTAAAATGTAAGATCGAGATTAAAATATATATTTTTTGCTGTAATAAAATGTATAGATTTTGTGAAAAAATCTTTCTTAAAACGTATTTTTGCTGCATACAGCGCCTTAATACGTTTGCAGATAGTATAAATATATTTTATATATAGTATAGTATATATTTTATTACTTAAAATAACAGCGCTAAAGAGATTTCCTAAAGAGTGATCTAAATTTTCGCTAGTTTGTAAATTCGGTTATTAATTAGTACTTTCTTTTAATTGGGCTAATTACTTAAAATAACAGCGCTAAAGAGATTTCCTTTAGAGTGATCTAAATTTTCGCTAGTTTGTAAATTCGGTTATTAATTAGTACTTTCTTTTAATTGGGCTTGAGCCAAATAGCGGACCCATAACCTCGAAGTACGTTACTAGTTACTACACTAAAGACTACGTTTTCTACAAAAACTCATGTTAAAAACTTCGATTGTGTTTAGAAACAGTAAATAAAGAAAGATTTATTTTCATTTCAAAACGTTTGTACTTTGATCAAGATCATTTCAATTATTACAATGATATATTGAAATCCAAATCAATGATATCCTATATTGAATGTAGAGCGATTGTCAATTTTTTTTTTCATAATACGATTTATAGCCCATGTCCATTTGGAATGATTTAGCTTTCATAAGGTACCTTAAGGATTTTTTAAATATTTTTTTTTTTATGTGGAAAGTTGCCAAACGAGCAGAAGGTTCACCTGATGGTAAGTGAATACCGCCGCCCATGGACATCTGCTACACCCGAGGGTTACAGATGCGTTGACAACCTTTTGAAAATTGGGCTCCGGCTACCTCAATCCACCAGACGAAACGCGAAAGTATTTGTCAAGCTTCCACTTTACGCCGGTCTTCTGTGAGGTCATAGTACTTACCCGGACGGGCCTGCCCATTCGTGCAACAGCCGAGGCTGCTGCGTGGCCCTACCACCGTGAAATGTAGTACAGCAGTAATAAATGCAGTACTTCACTGCAGAGATTACTTTCCATGTATACCTACCTACATAATTACACAAAATTCGCATAATTTCCTCATTATATTGTTAAGTAAGTCAATTTCTTTTTGAAAGATGCATGATAACTAATTATTTTATATTTGTTTCAAGGGCATATCTATTAGAATTTCGTTTCTTTAATGTTGTACAATTCTAGGTCACTATCCAGTGCCACAGAGTCGTTGATTAGGCTATTTTGATCGACATACGCTGCTGGTAGACATTAGTGCCGCCTAATAACGTCACGTTTCGTACTTCAAGGCACTTCTAATTGATTTACGATAATACGATGGATCGCCTACAAATTTTCGGCTGTGAAGTTCTTCGCATTTACTTTTATTTATAGCTCTATCCTATTTTTACGTAAATTGCTATGCGTGCAATAAAGGCCAAGTTAATGTTTGTTACGGCCGAAATGATAAACCTCCTCCTTTTTTGAAGTCGGTTAATAATGTTATTATTCGTATTGTAAATACTACTTAGCGAAAGATTCTGATTCTGATTCTTCGGTTCCTTGAAGTTTCCATAGCGTATATTAACATACCAATACAATTTTCATCAAAAAAATACTAATTGCTGCTGTATTTACGAATAATACTACTCAAATGTACATAGCTACATGCGCAATTTTGAAAACAATACACGAAGAGGCCACGCAGCAACTCCAGCTGCTGCACAAATGGACAGGATCGTCCGGGGAAGTACCGCGACCTCACCGGCTACCACATCACGGAAGTTTGTTGAAGTCTTAGTGTTTTTGCATGTCGTTATCAGATTGAGGTAACCGGGGCCAACTTTTTGAGAATGCCTCTGCAATTTGTCAGGCATTGGAGATATTCATGGACGGCGTTTTTCACTCAACTTAGGTGGACCAACCATTACTGGGCAAAAAGGCCTCCTCTGGACAGAAGTTATTAGGGCCGCACTGCGAATTGACGGACTTCACATATCTTCGAAATTTTTTTTTAACATTTTAAAAATATGCAGGTTTCCTCATGATGTTTTCCTTCACCGCTGAGCAGCACTTAAAGTAAAAAATTTGTGCCGACACTGGGGATCGAACTCAATTTGCTCGAGTATATTGAAAAGGCGAGCAACCCGGACACTGAGCTAACTATGCAGAGCTATAGTCTATTTTACGCTACTCTTCTGTAAGACCGTGGTACTTTTCAGGACGGCTAAACCCGTTCACCCAAACTTGTGCTGCGGTGAATATTTTGATCTGTCCACTTTTTAATACAAAGAAACACATGCACGTACAACAACGAGTTTTGTGAAGTTATCTGTAAATCTCGAACTTGTTTAATACAAAATTTCCCTTACAGGACCTTTTCGTAGATAAATGAATTTCATTTCGTGTAGCAATTTTAGCGTGACGTTGATACTCATATTTTCGTCTTCGCCTTCTTGTCTCTAATTCGAGGTAGCATTAGAGTAATAAAAATGTCTTGAGACGGAAATAAAATGGCTGATACTTTTATGTAGTCAACTAAGGGTGAAGGTAATTTTTCTTTCACATTCGAGCCAAAATATCATGTTTGCCTAAAAGAACAAAGGAACTAACATATGTGAGCTTGTTGTTAAAATCTATTAGATCAATAGCTTGTAGAACCAAGTAAGCTGTTGGTTTGTTACAGACCCGGGATTAAGTACATGATCGATGGTGATTTATTGTAGTATACTTATCTACTATTTGGTGACCAGAACATACATTTTTTGACGAGAACATACATAAGGCAACAAACAATCGACGAAAGATTTTTCCTGTTATTAGTTGATTATTAGTCTATTCAATATATTATTAAATAGGAGACTCTCGTGGCAGATGTGTTGGTTTAGGTATTAATTCTTCGGCGTTGGAAATTATTCTTACCAAGAAGCGTCATTGAATGTCATCATACAAATATTTAAAACAAAGTCCAAGTAAGTCGCATGTCCACAGACTAGCCATTTGTGTAGTTTGCCCGGCTCAACATTATCGGCTAATTTTGTCCATAAAAAGACACCCAAAATACCACCAACTGTTATAAACTATAAGCGTATATGTATATTTTTAATATATTTTAACATATTGACGTAGAATATGAGGAACATGTGCATATTGCAGGTAATCAATGATGACGCATGACCTTAATGCGCGGAGTTTAAAATTTTTTCCGCTTTACATTATATGACGTGAATGTGTAACACGATATAGAAAGTATGATACGGATAGAGATAGGAGTCTATAGAATGTGAATGTAACTTGATTTACGATTTAGACTATAATAAAAAAAGAAAATTAGCTTCGTAAAAATTAATAGGAGTTTTTTTGGAGTATTTTTAGGATATATGTTCACGTGATTATCTTACCTTTCTTTTCTTAGTTCGCTGTTTCTTTTCCGAAAGTTGGCAACAAGGAGTTGCATTTCAGCTGAATGCCTCTCATATAGTTGCGAGAGTTGCGTTGTGAAGTCTGACACTGAAACAGAAATCAGTACTTGAGATCTGCAATTAAAACTTGTATTGATTATTAATAACAATCACTTAGCTCGTTGGAAATGAAATGAAAATGATGTTTTATGAATTTTAATAACTAAAAATGTTGTTATAACTTTTATATAACAATACCTAATATTAAAAAAACAGCAATAGCAAAAAAACATTAAAATTTTCTGAATCTTAACGAAAAAATAATGTTATCTTGCAAAAAGTTTGAATAATCTCTGTCACAGTGTAAGCGAATATTTTAAATTTATAGTTCTATTTTTAAACACATATTATAGTTATGTTTCTAAAACAATTTACATATGAGCTATTGTGCTATGGAGAGAAAGTAAACAATAGTTATGATTTTGGAAGGTATAATAAAGTATAAAAGTAACAATTTTATTCTGTACTAGTGAACGGCCCAGCGAGTATTTACTATGGTAGTGCCACGCAGCAGCTTCGGCTGTTGCACGAATGGGCAGTCTCGTCCGGGAAGTAGCACGGCCTCACAGAAGACCGCCGTGCAGTGGAAGTCACATAATTTCGCCTTTCGTCTGGTGAGTGGGTGGGAGGACCCACTTCTTTAAATGTTGTCAACGGATCTGCAACCCCTCGGGTGTTGTAAATGTCTACGAACGGCGGTAATCACTTAACATTAGTTGAACCGTCAGCTCGCGTGACAACTTTTCACATGAAATTTTTTTTCACTTTGGGTACTGAACACTAAAAAGGGAACCTCACTCACCAGCTCACTACACATTTTAGAAGATGTGGTCTATAAACGAACAAGTTTTTTCGATATAAAATTTCTGTTTGGTTCCTGGTGTCATTTACTAAATAAGCTTTAGCAAAGTGCTGTCCGCCATTTAGCGATGCTCTTAATGTTTCAGGGAGGTTGCGACAAGCCTTTCAGCCTCATTATTGGACACCATTAAGGAACGCTGATTTGATATAACGCGTCGCCTCCTAAACTGACATTAATTTGATAGAAACTTCGCTAATTAGAACAATTTTCAGTGAAAATGTTATCATATATCATTACAGTATAACGCCTGATGACCCTTTAATGTAACTGCTTCGGTAACATCTTAAATATATTTACAAATAGTATTTTTTCTTAAGATCTTGCAATAAATTAGAAAAAAAAAAGAAAAGAAAGCGACCCGATCAGAATATCAATATCAAGATCACGATCGCTCTACTTTGACGTTTATCCCTATGAATTATTCAACTGTTATTATTTGTCAAAGTATTGAATGGTGTTGTAACGACCTATTAATAATAATAAATATTATTATTAATTAATCATAATTAAGATGAAAATAAAACGTTTAAGAACATTTCATCACAATAACAGTTAATAATATATACTTAAATTTAAGAAATATAAGTGTTAGTATGAGAAAATGATAGATATTACCAAAAATTGATAAAAAATAATTAAAAATCACTTAAAATACTCAAAAAAGGATATTTATTAAAAATATAGCAAGATACGATCACCATTATGTCAATTAAATACAATTCCATACTTAATGATTTCTAAGGGAAGTATTATGTACCGTGCGGGGACACAATTGTATGATCGTACATATATAAGTACAGAGGTCGATCGCGACTCTTAGTACTATAGTGAAAGTACATTGTATGAACGTCCCATACCAATATCATATGGAAGTAAGGTCTAATGGATAAAAGTAATAATATGTGAAGGCTCAGAGAAAAAATAATAAATATATAAATATAATGAAGAGCAATGAATGACTTGGGACTTTATAAGAGATATTACTATGGAGTTGCATGGTACTTCTGTACGACGATATGGTCTACACGTGAAACCATGAATGGATATGTCTTGAGTGGAGGACATATCATCGATAGCTGGTGGTAGTTGGCGTCTTAGTGACCATCACTATGATACGTTAGCTGTCATTCGGCATAGTAAGAGTTTGGTGGTAGTTGGCGTCTTAGTGTGTTGCACTATGATACGTCGACTGATCATCTGACTTTGGGGAGTCTTGGTAGTGGCTTGCGTCTTAATGTATTCCACTATGATACGTTGGCTATTACTTGGCTGGGGTGGGGGTCCGTTGGTGGTTTGCGTCTTAGTGTTTACGCTATGATACGTTGACTATCATTCGGATCGTGAAAGAGTATGTTTGGACACTTCGTGTGTTCCGAGTATATTCTAAACTTTGGAGCCGAAGTTGATTGGATTTATATTGGTGTGGTGTTGTGAGGGTGTGCCACCTACGCGATAGTCACATTGATGCATGCGGCTATATGCAGTAATGCGTCTTGTGGTAGTTGCGGGGTGATCTGCGCCTAATATCATTGCATCGTATGATTCTGGTTGACGGAGGTTCGAGGTGATGATGTCTGCTGTGTATGCGGATAGGCTGTATGTTGGCGTGTTGACCTGCGATAGTTGTATTGATGCATGTTGCATTTAGTGACATTGCGTCTTGCAACATTTGCTTGGGAGACGACGCTATTCATAATGGCCGAGTCTGCGTGTCGGTTTGATGTACATCTCAGTAGATTTGTCCAAGTCGGGTTCCTGATGACGGAACTGCAGACTGTCTGACTTCTTTATACGTTTTATCATTATTAACGAATCTCAGTAAAGTTCCCACCGTTCGAACGAATAATGGCAACTTGCTGGTGGGTGAGACAAACTTGATCGAAAATACACTATACTCAACGTCAGAGACACTGACAAATAAATATATGTTGCCAATTATAAGCCCATCAGATGGCTAAACATAAAAATCACAACTATGGCTATATCTGACTATTTCAATGGTTGGTGGAGCATATGCGTTTACCTCATGTGGATGGTAGCTGGCGGGAGAAAACCTCTCAAGGCTGCGGCGATGCCGTGCAACGTTTAAACCATACCCTTGGGGTGAGCAGTGACTCATAACGCGCTCTGCGACGAAATGTCGTGCTAACCTTGTAATGGTGGTGATGCCAAAACACTAACAATCACGTCTGCAGTCGCGGCGATCTGGCAAAAGTGGTGGCGCTTACGGAGGGCTTATCATAGGGCCAGAGTGCTTGATCTTTAACACATGCCCAAAACCGTATTGACGTACATTCACGAAGACTGGATTTTTCGTCGGCTTGTGTGACGTTACACGCATTGACATGCGCGACTTCGGTCAAAGTTTGTGCTTACGCACTGCCAAGGGGCCAAGCCCTCTTTATGCTGGTAAAACAGCTTTGCAATGGACTTCGGTCCTTTCCCCAACTTTTTGTCCCTCTTCTGGGGGGGGGGGGGGGGGGGCAAAATGTTGGTTGGCGCTCACCGCACACGGCGTTGGTGAGTGTTTTCATGGAGCCGTGTGCCTTCCCTACATTTTTTTTTAAAAATGTGGGGGAGCTATTGACTTGTATCGGGTATGTAAAATTGATGTGAGCCCTTTTCAAGAGAGAAGGGATATTAATTTAAAATCATATTGTGAGCCCTTTACAAGCGTGAGAGGGAGTACACTATATACTCTGAGCCCGTCTCAAGCGAGTCGGGATTAGTTGTTAAGAAAGCAATCTGGCATTATCTCTGGCTTATACCACAACTAGTAAATATTTATCTATCCAAGATACACCTAAAAGAATCAAGTTACTAAAAAAACACAACGTAAATGAGGTCCTACCGAATATGACGATCACAATAATATTTATACGGCTAATTATTACCTTTAGAAAGATCCTATAGAAAGATCAAGAATTTATCCTGGTCACGTAAAAGATGTTATATGATTTATTCATATAAAGGGGTAAAATATATATAAGTTTAATTATATATATATATATGCATAAGGGGGGGTTCAGTTACAGTGTGTAAAAATAAATCAAAAGATAGGAAGGAATACACATAAAGCAGGGAAAGGGATAATTGAGATCTGTTTTTTTGTCGATTAAAATGAAAATATATACTGAAACTTTTAAAATTTAAAATAAAAGTATCATCTTATATAATGTTCCACTGTTAGGCAAAGACCTTCTCTGTAACAGGACATAAACTACCACGCAGTCCCGTTGTAGACTGGCAGAATTTGAAAATATTGTTTTTGTTATTATTTCGAAAACATATATAAGTAATTATTACGATAAAAAAGTAAAGTAAAGTAACAGCCTATACATGTCCCCCAGCTGGGGAAAGGCCTCCTCTATACAGATGGTATCAGGGCATAGTCCACCACGCAGTATTTTTTTTTCTTGTTATTTCGAGCCGAATTTAAGAGCCGTGATAGCTCAGTGTCCGGGCGCTCGCCTTTAATTCATTATGCTCGAGTGTTGAGTATGAGTTCGATCCCCGGTGCCGGCACCAATGAAGTTTTTAACTTGAAGTGCTGACTTATCACGTGCTCCGCGGTGAACGAAAATAGCGTGAGGAATCCTGCGTATTTTCGAAATAATAACTGCGGATATGATAAGTCAGTATTTGAAATCCCAACTAACAATTTCATTGGTATTGCCACCGATTTGAACTTAGGTTGATCGAGTATATCGAATTAAAAGCGATCGTCTAGACACTGAGCTAACAGGGCTAAATTAACAAAGAAAATTTACAAGAAAACTCTGTACTACATTTTGAATATAAAACGACGCCTATGAGTTGTGGGGATGTTTTGATCAGATTGAAAATATGCATGCTTAAGAAGTAATCGTCACTGATGTTTATGCATTTGGAAAAACTTGGATCGCAGAAAGAGGAAATCAGTATTTTCTGCTTACACTTTCAGTTAACAGACATGAGTGTTTGTCTATATTTTTACCATTGGTGATATCAAAGAGTCTCACTAATTAGTAGTGAAACTCTTTGATGTAATCGATGAAAGAAAAAGAAAGTTATGAAGTTTTGAAAAAATAACTGGGAGAAATAAGAAGTTGTATAGGTTATATGTTACCGATTATTACTTTTAATACACTAACAAATATTATGAATGTTAATAAAGTTGGTAATAAGTACAATGATAATAATGTATA